CTGGCGGGGGGGCTCCTGGCAGGGTGTGGGGCTCTGTGAGGGGGCTGTGGTGGGGTGTGGGGCCCTGTGGGGGTCCCCCGTGGGGAATGGGGCTCTCTGGGGCGGTGCACGAGGACCTTGGGAGGTGTGGGGCCGGGTGGGGACCGCGTGGGGTCTGTCGGGCGCCATCGCCCCGCCGAGGCCCACGCGCTGCCCGTGGCTCTGCGTTCCAGAACAAGCTCGTGGACCGGTGCGAGCGGCTGCAGCTGCAGAGTGCGGCCATCGCCCGGCACGTGGACGAGGTGCTGCCCGCCAAGGACCAGGGCGTCCTGGTGAGTCCCTGCCATGGAGCTGGCGCCGTTGCTCCCCAGCTCGCTGTTCCTGCTGCAGATTACCGAGCTCTCGGGGGGCTCATTGGTGTGCAGGGGCTGTCCCCCTCCTACCCCACAGCTTGTGGGAGGGGAGTGCCAGGGGTGCGCCCGCACTTCCTGCTCCATCTGCCTAAAAAATGTACATGAACAATAAATCTCTTGGTGTTAGCGTGCAGCCAGTAATCATCCCGGTAGGACCAGTCTTAACAACTCCTCATTTTGTTTTGTGCCTTTCTGTCACCAAGGACAAAAGACAGTTCTTGTGGTGGTTGTTTCCCGCTAATAGTGAATCCAAGAAGATCTGCTGAGGGATGGGACTCTGGTCGCTTGCAGGTTGTCGCTTAGGTAGCAGAGTTAGGCCAGGAGGCAGCAGGCAGGCTTGGGACTGGTTGTCTCATTTACCTCTGCTTGCATAGTGATGATTACTGTGACTTAGGCTCAATTAGCAGAGTAATCTTAACAGCTGAGCGCACAGAAAGCTGGCAGAAGCGGTTGGTGCTGTTGTTGGGGTTGAAGCAAGGCTGATGTTTCTTCCTCTCTCCTTGCACTGGCAGAATGCAGCCAACGCGGCACGGGAGCTGGTAATCCAGAGGCTGATCTTTGTGGGGAACGCTTGTGAAAATGAAGAGCAGCGGTTGCTGGAGAGGGTGCACACGGAGGAGGAGCGGGCGCACCAGAGCATCCTGACGCAGCGGGTGCACTGGACGGAGGCTCTGCAGAAGCTGGCTGCCCTCCGAACCTACCTGGTGGACATGATCACCAACCTGGATGACCAGGACCTGGTGGTGAGTACTGCGCCTCATACCGAGGGGCACATCACTCAGCCCAGAAGTGACCTAGGCTTTTTGCCATGAATATTACGGGACTTTAGTAGAGTGTTGAGCAGCTTGCTGCACTGACAGCAAGGAGGCAGAGTTGGACAGGACCTGCATTTGCTGGTCTAGCTCAAGGAACCTCCCTTCATCTGGTCCTGACAAGCCCCTGTGGTTTCTTGGTGGTTCCTAGAGCATCTGCTCTGCCTGATTCTCCTTTTGCTTGCCGTGAGGTTCAGAACCACCCAGGCTCATGTCTCTAAGCTCTTGGCTTGAATCTGCTAGCTCAGGACATCTACAGGTTGAGGACTGCTCTCGTCAATTGGACCACCAGTTTTCTAGTGTTATGTCTAGTTTTAATCAAAACATGACCCTTGGGAGCCCCTGCAGCTCTTCTTGAATGTTTGCCCTGTTGTCTGGCATACTTCTGTTTGAGGTATTTACCGTGCAAAGCAGCCCATGCTTCCCTTCACTCAGTTCCTTTTCTGGCCATTGAAATGTCTCCGTTTGCCCAAGCAATTCCTCTCAGTTTAGACACAAGCAAGTAGGCAGTGCAGCACCTTCCTCTTAGCCTCTGCTTGCCACATGTAACTTTGTGAAGAGGTGGGCAGCAGCTTTGCTCAGAAAAACGAACTGATCCCATGGACAGAAGGTAGCTGGCTGTTCCTTTGGTGGGAAACGCAGCTTCTGTCCTGCCCCAGCAGCTCAGCTGGCTGAGCTGTGGCCTCGCTGTAGAGAGTAGAGGTCAGAAAGCAAGACCCATCAGATGTCTGTGGCAGAAAACTGCAGGACCCTTAATTTCTCTTTTTGCCACGTGGTGGTGGGGAAATAGGGATCATGCATTCTCCACCCTGGATCGTCAGTGTTGGTAGTTGTGTCTATTGGGAATCGATACAAGTCAAAAGTGAAAGGCACATAGAGCACCCTGCAGCTCATATTTGAGCAGGGATCAAATGTTTTCCTTTGATAACTGGGCTGTACCTTGAGAACGTACCATTGCCAGTAGGTGCAGAAACAAGTGGGACTGATCATGAGGTTATCTGACTCTTGGCTTAGGTCCTCTGCAGCTTCACCCCCTACTGAAAGCTTTGGGGGTTGTTTGCTGCCAGCACAGGGTGTTCTTGCAGTGTGCCCTAAGGGGGTGGGGGAGGAG